CCCCCCCCCCCCCCCCCGCTGCTAGGTCCTTGGACAGTGCTCATTAACGGTGCTGGAATGACAGAGTACGGAACGCGGGCATTTGTCTCTACTTCCACCCTTCCAGGCTCCTAGAACATTGCCGGAAACATAAATACCTCTCCAGCTCTGGAGAAGTGTTTGCGCTCCTGGTCAGCAGCCTGTTGGAGAACCTCTTGGACTACAGAACCATTATCATGCATGACGAGAGCAAGGAGAACCGCATGAGCTGTACCGTTAACGTGCTGGTAGGTCCCAAGACCCTCGGTTGGCGAGAGGGCATTGCAGGGCCAGCCCCACAAGCACAGCTCAGCTCTGAGTCGGTCTCACAGGCACAGAGGTGCCCTGAGGCCACCTTTACAGAGTCTGTGCCCTGCTGAGTCTAATGGGAGCAGCTGACTCAGCTTTGGACTCCGATATCAGCTGCCACACAGACCTGGAGAATAAAAGTGGACACAGGGATAGAAAATGCCACATTAGCTCTTAACTCAGCTCTTACTTGAAGGCCATCTTTCACCTGTTTCTGTGTCTTGTTTATATCTGGTTGCTTTATTGTTTGGAAATATTGGGCATAGGTGAATATGCATCAGAAACCCTGTACCATGAGGGGAAAGTCATGGAATCCTCATGGTGCCAGAGCTCTGTGGTCTTGCCTTTCCCAGATATATGTAACTGGGACCACCGACCTCAGAAGCATAGGCTGCCATGAATTCCTCTGCTTAATAGACAGGAAGAACCTGGCACCACTGACTGCCTGAGAAAGAAGAAACCATCAGTTGACTTGAGTATCAGTTGGCTATTTGTTCACTTAGAGGATTTCCCTCGTGTTTTTTAGACGAACGGTCCTAAAAACGTTCTGCAGTTTATCTTCTTTATAAATGATCACTTCCTTTCTTTGTAGGGGTATTTGTTAAAGGGCAAAATTAAGTCTGGAAAGGTGACTCTGTTAAAAAGCAAAAGTCGTGGTTTGGCCATTTTTGATAACCTTTGGTTTACATTGGTATTTTTGACTCCCTTTTCTCGGTAGAATTTTTACAAAGAAAAGAAGAGAGAGGACATATACATAAGGTAAGCTGAAGGAGATTTCTGCTTTTGCCATTTATGCCATGGCCTTATTATTTATTTCTTCAGTTAACAAATACTAAGTCCCAACACCACGCTTGCTGCTTTGAGAGACACCAAAAAGTGTGTCATCTGCCCCGGGCCCCCCCGAAAGGGTAAACTCTCTAGACAGATATGGAAGCACAGTACATAGGGAGACTGGTGTCGCGATTCCAGGAAAAGATAGAAGACTGGCCAGAGCAGTCGGGAAGCAGTCAGCAGAGGCATGGCCATGTGCCTTCCTGTCCAGGACTGCTGAAGTCCTGACCACAAAACGAACTTGGATTTAAACTGTATGTATTTTCTTAGGGAGAGATTCCATAGTTCTTATTAGCTTCTCGGGGCAGGCGGGGGGG